TCTACCTTTTCCAGGTGCACGGTGACTGTTTTGCCATCTTCTATCAACCAGGAGCTCTCCTCCACCTTCACTTCATTGAAAAGCTCTCCATCAATGACAGGCGGGTGGCCCTTCAGGCTGACTTTAAGGCGTCGTCTCTGGATGTCCACGATCACATCCTTCCCCTTCAACCTGAAGTTCACCTTGAAAGGGATGGCCAGCTGGACCAGAGAGAGATCAGAGCTGAGGAGCAAAGCAGCAAAGTCGCTTCTTACTCTTGCACTGCTGTTCTAAGATTTACTGCCTTGGCTTCACCAGTAAAATAACTTTTCTCAGAGTACTGCACATGCAGGAGGTAAAAGGACACAAGCATAAACTTGACAACAGGATGGCCGATGTTCCTCAAAGGGACCATAATAAGGTGAGCAGACTTTAATGTCCTGTTTAAACATGACTAGCATTCAGGCAACATCAACTAAAGCTTCTGGGACTTCCATTTAGTTACCAACCTCTCTTGCTGCAACTGAAATGCTGCTGGTAACTATTAACCACTTTACATGGACAGTTAAGATAACACATCTTATTCCAGAGGCCCTGCTCATTTTTACCAGCACCTGCTTGTATTTCACAGCTAGAACTCCTCAGATCCAAGGCAACACTTACATCAAGTTCTGAAAGGGTCTGTGTCCATCTGTAATTTGGAAGGTCAGCTCCATTACCAGAATTGGGTTTAATTTTTCCTTTATCCTTCTCATCTTCCTCCTCGTCCTCTGAATCCTAAACAACCAATTGAAATGTAAAGAAAGAGACTTCCAGATTTGCAGATGTCCTTCACGCGTAACAACAGTTTTGAGTTTTTATCAGATTCTCGAGTCAGCTGCTTGTATTTGACATTCACAAACTTAGTCCAAAATTAAAATATATTTCTGTTAAAACATGATTAAAAAAAGGAAGAAAATGTTGGAAATGTTTGGAAATGAGGTGTATTATAACAAGGGCTTAGCACAGAAGGCAAGATAATCTTCAGTGCCTGTTTTCAAAGGCAGACAGGATATCCCCTCAAGCTCCCAAGAGTTCTCACAGCTGTCCAGAAACATTTATCTCGGTGTTATATAAAGTCCCTAGGTGAGCTTTACCTGTCTGTTGGAATCTGAAGATTCACCTTCACCATCCGTGGATTTCACTAAGCCACTGTTTATCTCTCCTTTTGCCTCTTTTTTCTGTTTAAAAAGAGAATGAACGTGCTCAGATAGTGTTAGCAACGGGTTACTGGCCTGACACTATGGGGCCTCCACCTCTTCAGCTGAAACTCCTAAAACGCAGCACAAAATTACACCCAAAACCGAGGGAATCCAGCGTTTCAGGAAAGGCCTGCTGCCAAAGGAGAACCTGCTTAGTCCTCACACTCCTTGACCACTGCAGAAGAGGGCCGAGCTACAACGAGACAACCTGTTGAGGCCAGAAGGGGGACTAGTGACTACGGGGAGAACCCTCTGGTCTCCAGGGTCTGGGATTCCTGATGGCCAGACACATGCACCGAACACTGCTCTCACCTGAGCGATTTCTAGCTGCAGCCTTTCCGCTTCCTCGTCCGTAAGCTCCTTAATCCTGGGCTCATTAGCTTCCTGCTTTGCTTCCTTAGCGAGCTTGGCAGCTCTGTCTGCCTTTTCACGCAATTCTGCCTCTTGACGAGCCTTTTTTTCCTTCCGCTCCTTCTGAGCTAGCTTGTTGTGATGGTTAAAGGTATCTGTGATCAGCTGAACAACAGAAACACATAACAAAAGGGTTTTAAAATCACATTTTTCAAACACAAATGAACTATCAGCTCCCTACCATATGAGAAACATGAGCACGTTTTGCCAGTCACGCTGTGCCGTGACTTTTCGTTTTCACCCTAGTCTTTTTATTGAAAAGTTTGATTGGATGTCAAAATATTTGAATGTAACCCTACCTAGTAGTTCTTCACACAGGGAGCAGATTTCCAGAAACAATAACAGATTGTCCATTTGCTCTGTACTGTGTGCAGTCCCAAGAGGAACTAAAGGTTGCCTAATCTATCCAGGAAAGCTGGGGCAAGGAGACACTACACCCTAATTTCTGTGCCCTCTTCAGATTTAAGGTGACATGTTTCTTAATCTCTCCCTGAGCATTGCAAGGTGTCAAAAACTGTTTTCAAAGCACTCCAATCTCTCCAGAGGGGAGCATCCAAGCTACTGCAATAACCTGCTCCCCAGAGAAAGTGTAACAGACCTGCTCCACATCTGGGCTTTTCCCAGGCATGAGAGAGAGATTCTTCTCAAATTAATATTTAGATTACAAAACAGCACGAGGACAAGACCTTTACCCTAAAGAGATTACAGAGGTCCTTGAAATTTTGCTCCTTCTGTAACAGCAAGTGGCAGAGAATAGAAAGAGCTAGATATTACTTTAACCCTGCTGTCGTGACTCACAGGAGAAATATTCTAAAGCTCATTGAACTTTTTGGGAGCTGGGTCCTACTTAAATCTTGCCCCCAAAGATATTTCCACCTTCCCATCTTGTTGTGACTAAGAAAAGGAAAATCTCCAAGTCTCTGATGCAAACAGCTCTGCTGCTCAGAAGGAAAGCCATGGACGCAGGCAGGAAGCCAGAGCAATTACCCCATGGCCGATAATGCACAAAACTGTGCAAAGCAGCACGTAGGAGATCTAAGTTCTGTTCCACAAAACCACACAGACAGAAGTTGAGAACAGAAATCAAAGTGGAGTGAATTTTAGATAAGGGTTTCAGGTACTGGCTTCTATTTATTCCAGGAACTTTAGTGAGGAATTGGCACTTCTCTAAAGTAGTTCAGAGCAGTCAGGTCTTGTGTAGTTTTGGAACCAAGCCCCAGTTATTCCTGCTTTGCTTCTACAGAGGAAAGAGATTTATTTACACAATTTGAGTGCAGCATCTCCTAGGATACTGAAATCAAGACCTGTATCTCCCAGCCTGTTCCTAACCACAGGACAATGCACAGTGAGTAAAAGCTATTCAAGTTGTCCAAGTGGGTCAGTGTGAGCACACACTCTATTTCCCTCAACTAGTTTCCTCGCCTCATCCCTCTACACCAGGAAGACTTCTGAAATGGCACCACATAAGAGATCCTTTCTCTCCCTCTTCTAATCTCGTTGATACCAAAGGACGAGCAAGGCAGGGGAGAGAAACTTTGTATTTTGCTGTGGTTACAAGCATATCAGAGGCAAGTTAGGAGACTCTTCGTATTCAGCACTTTTTCAGAGGACCATAGTGCATTTTAGACACCACCCAAAGTTGCTAAGGACACTGCCACTTTTGTTTTACAGGGAGCACAATAAGATATAGATCTGTAAAGTTATTTGCAACAACAGTAGCTAGGACCATCCACATTTATCAGCACTAATCACTGAAATTCTACTAAAACATCATGCTACTTGGGGTATATGGTTCTCAGGAATTTGAACGATTTGCTCATTAATCTAAGGAAATAGCAGCTGACTTCATCTCATTCTTATTTTGAAACCAGCCCCCTTCCCATCCCTAGATGCTCTAGGATCCAAAAAGCATCAGCCCCGCAATGAATATTGGCTTCTTGGCAAGACTGCTGTAATCGCCCTCAGGCTGGAAGCCAGGAGGGGAGGTGAGGGGCTCTGGGCCATCCCCCAGCATCTAGACAACAGCGTTACACAGGAGTCAACAATCTGAACGACAGGGGAATGGCTGCTACATTGGTAAGTACAAGCAAGAGAACTTCAGGAAATCCAATTGAGGTTGGAAAAAAAAATTCCCTACAGTGAAACTAATTAATTTTACAACCCTTGGGCCAGGCCAAGAATACGTGGTGGGTATCAGGTCTCTAAGGCCAACAAGGCAGCCTCAACGCTCGGATTTGCTGCCCAGGGCGTTCAGTTCGTGCAAATAGGGCAGCGCAGAGACAAACGGGCAGCCGCATGTGCAGAGATGTGGACTTTGTAATTTTTTGCGATGAACAAACAAGGTAACCCGGGGTTATCACAGCTGCAGTGTCTGTCACCGTTAAGTCAGAGTGTCTGGCAGATTTGCTTTTCAAACAGGCCTTTGGCCAGAGCGTGGCAAAAACCTGCACCATTGGTATCACTCAAGCGAGCAATACACCTCACCTCAGGTAGGGGCACCTTATTATTACCTTGTTTCAGGGGGGTATTTCATCAGCATCACAGACTACTAAGCCCCAGGTGCACTGAGAGCTTTGAGCTGCTCAATGAGATAAGTCTTAGCACTGCACACACATGGTTAGTAGGTAAGCTAGAAGATACAAAAGCTTGAGAATTTTTCTTTCTGTTTTTTGTTGTTGTTGTTTTTACCTTTTCTGCTACTCCATCTTCTCCGCCAGTGAAGAAATCAGTTTTGCGCCTCAGGAAACTAAAGAATGTGTTCACCAGCTTGTAGAAGTGCAGGGTTTGGGGTAAAAAGAGAGAGAAAAAACAAGAGCAGCAGTGAGACCAGATCTGTCATCTTCTGTCTCCTCAGCTGTCTTTATGCCTCCTCATCCTTCCTACCCATGGCTGTGTTAGGATCATATTAAAATCAAACCCATGACTGGTTCCTAGCAAAACAATTAGGAACTTTTGTGGAGACCTAGCTTAGGTTTTCCCCATTTTCATTAGAGGTGTTTGTGTTTTCCATGAAGAAAGGGTGAGCAGTTCATTCTCAGGTCATCTTCCCTTAGAGCTGCATCAGCTTTGAAGTCCTAAGCTGTTCCTTAGGCCCAGGTGACGCTGGAACTTCAAATATTTTAATAGACATATGTATGTATATATACACACATACACCAAAAATCCACTTATTTGGCTGTCCTTAGTATTTGCAAGCACACCTTCCCCAGTCTGTGTAGCGTTTGCTTTTACAAAGAACTACTGTGTTTGTGCTCGACTGCCTCGAAGCAACGCTCTGTGCTGCAAGGCAGGTGACAAGACAGCACCGCCTGTCTGGTGTCCTTGAGGGGTTATGAATCAGCAGACCAAAATACACCTGCGTGGAATAACCAGCTTCGGTGGGCCCGGTTTGTCTTTTTTTTTTTTTCCCCAGGAACGTTGTTGTTCTCGGTATTTAAGCCAGAAGCATCACTGCAGTGAGACCAACTGTTCCGAACGGCGTCACCGTCCGGGCCCCCCGGCG